CCCTGTTGTTTATCCGATCAGTCTCAAAAGTTGCCCTGCACAGCTAGGACCAAGGGGAACCTACATATAAAATTTGAGAAAGATCCCTCTTGTACTTCTTGGGAAATAGCGATAACAAGAATTGTTTAAGGACAGACGAAGGACGGCGGACAACGGATGACAGATGGACAGACGACGGACCACGGACGCAGGGTGATTTGAATAGCCCACCATCAGATGATGGTGGGCTAAAAACGTAACCGAGTTGAACGGGTAGGTGTACAGCAATTAAATACCTTTGCAATCAAATAGAAGGCGATAGAGAACGAATTGCATTTTATTCTTGTTTGTCCATTCTACAACGAAGTAAGAACATAATACATTGGTAGATATTACAGAATTAGGGCTACAATGATTAAATCAATTAACTTACTTTCTATTAAAAATAAGAAGAAATTGAATTATCTTTCCAAATTATTCATTGCTGCTTCACAACCGAGATCAAATGAATAAAACTAAAACTAAAACTGAAGAATAAACACTATAGCCTATAGTAGGACAGCACACCATACTTTCTACTTTGGTTTGTGTGCCAATGTCAGTATAACAAGGATAGACACTATAGGACAACACACCATACTAGGTCAGTTCTCTAGTCACATGGTTCTACTTTGGTGTGTGTGCCAATGTCAGTATAACAAGGATAGACACTATAGGACAACACACCATACTAGGTCAGTTCTCTAGTCACATGGTTCTACTTTGGTGTGTGTGCCAATGTCAGTATAACAAGGATAGACACTATAGGACAACACACCATACTAGGTCAGTTCTCTAGTCACATGGTTCTACTTTGGTGTGTGTGCCAATGTCAGTATAACAAGGATAGACACTATAGGACAACACACCATACTAGGTCAGTTCTCTAGTCACATGGTTCTACTTTGGTGTGTGTGCCAATGTCAGTATAACAAGGATAGACACTATAGGACAACACACCATACTAGGTCAGTTCTCTAGTCACATGGTTCTACTTTGGTGTGTGTGCCAATGTCAGTATAACAAGGATAGACACTATAGGACAACACACCATACTAGGTCAGTTCTCTAGTCACATGGTTCTACTTTGGTGTGTGTGCCAATGTCAGTATAACAAGGATAGACACTATAGGACAACACACCATACTAGGTCAGTTCTCTAGTCACATGGTTCTACTTTGGTGTGTGTGCCAATGTCAGTATAACAAGGATAGACACTATAGGACAACACACCATACTAGGTCAGTTCTCTAGTCACATGGTTCTACTTTGGTGTGTGTGCCAATGTCAGTATAACAAGGATAGACACTATAGGACAACACACCATACTAGGTCAGTTCTCTAGTCACATGGTTCTACTTTGGTGTGTGTGCCAATGTCAGTATAACAAGGATAGACACTATAGGACAACACACCATACTAGGTCAGTTCTCTAGTCACATGGTTCTACTTTGGTGTGTGTGCCAATGTCAGTATAACAAGGATAGACACTATAGGACAACACACCATACTAGGTCAGTTCTCTAGTCACATGGTTCTACTTTGGTGTGTGTGCCAATGTCAGTATAACAAGGATAGACACTATAGGACAACACACCATACTAGGTCAGTTCTCTAGTCACATGGTTCTACTTTGGTGTGTGTGCCAATGTCAGTATAACAAGGATAGACACTATAGGACAACACACCATACTAGGTCAGTTCTCTAGTCACATGGTTCTACTTTGGTGTGTGTGCCAATGTCAGTATAACAAGGATAGACACTATAGGACAACACACCATACTAGGTCAGTTCTCTAGTCACATGGTTCTACTTTGGTGTGTGTGCCAATGTCAGTATAACAAGGATAGACACTATAGGACAACACACCATACTAGGTCAGTTCTCTAGTCACATGGTTCTACTTTGGTGTGTGTGCCAATGTCAGTATAACAAGGATAGACACTATAGGACAACACACCATACTAGGTCAGTTCTCTAGTCACATGGTTCTACTTTGGTGTGTGTGCCAATGTCAGTATAACAAGGATAGACACTATAGGACAACACACCATACTAGGTCAGTTCTCTAGTCACATGGTTCTACTTTGGTGTGTGTGCCAATGTCAGTATAACAAGGATAGACACTATAGGACAACACACCATACTAGGTCAGTTCTCTAGTCACATGGTTCTACTTTGGTGTGTGTGCCAATGTCAGTATAACAAGGATAGACACTATAGGACAACACACCATACTAGGTCAGTTCTCTAGTCACATGGTTCTACTTTGGTGTGTGTGCCAATGTCAGTATAACAAGGATAGACACTATAGGACAACACACCATACTAGGTCAGTTCTCTAGTCACATGGTTCTACTTTGGTGTGTGTGCCAATGTCAGTATAACAAGGATAGACACTATAGGACAACACACCATACTAGGTCAGTTCTCTAGTCACATGGTTCTACTTTGGTGTGTGTGCCAATGTCAGTATAACAAGGATAGACACTATAGGACAACACACCATACTAGGTCAGTTCTCTAGTCACATGGTTCTACTTTGGTGTGTGTGCCAATGTCAGTATAACAAGGATAGACACTATAGGACAACACACCATACTAGGTCAGTTCTCTAGTCACATGGTTCTACTTTGGTGTGTGTGCCAATGTCAGTATAACAAGGATAGACACTATAGGACAACACACCATACTAGGTCAGTTCTCTAGTCACATGGTTCTACTTTGGTGTGTGTGCCAATGTCAGTATAACAAGGATAGACACTATAGGACAACACACCATACTAGGTCAGTTCTCTAGTCACATGGTTCTACTTTGGTGTGTGTGACAATGTCAGTATAACAAGGATAGACACTATAGGACAACACACCATACTAGGTCAGTTCTCTAGACACATGGTTCTACTTTGATGTGTGTGACAGTGTCAGTATACTCTGCTTTGTTATCCTCACAATCTGGTTCACCTTTTACAGAATGGTCAATGTTTGAGGCCCAGCTCCTTCCTGGTTGACCATTACCCTGATCAGGTACAGTGTGTGGCGATTGCTTATGGTGGATATTTCCAGTCGGATTATCAGTAACTGCTGGAATGTATATCATTTCTGGAATTCTATCGGTTTTAGAGGAAGATCTTGTCAATTTCATATCAACAGGAGACAGCCCGACTGTAACAGCCTCCTGTAGATGTTCATGTTCTACTGTCTCCCGTTCAATCACCACTGTGGGAAGCTCAGCAGAAGATATGTCATCATCATATTCCATTGGCTCAGTTTTTATTATGATTTGGCTTTCGTCAAGGTCATTGGGCGTAGACTTATGCACAGCGGGAGAGCCATATGGGTCAAATTGCTCTCCTGTCGCTGTTATCATACTTTCAGTAACATCCAGATTTTGGCTGTTTAAATCTGGTTGTTTCAAGCTGTGATGGCTTATAGTTGCCTTAGGTTCCCTTTTCCTTATGAGAATTGGTGATTGTTTCTTTTGTTTTCTTCTTTGAAATGGAATTTTTAACTTCTTCCGGTCTAGTGGTAGGCTGAAGTCACTTTGCTCTGAATTTTGTCCGTTTTGAACATTAGAGTGATTCCCATTATGAACATCCACGAGATTCTCTACCATCTTATTTTCCTGTGGTTCAGATGCTGTAGATATTCCAGATGAAAGGCAACTGTATGATCGTTTTAGAGCCTTCCGAACAGGTCCTGTCCCAACTTGGTCTGTTGTCACTGAGATTGGGTCCTCATCAGGACCACACATCTCCTGGCCACTGATGTGGCTGTATCTGGTAGCCATTCCTGAATTATCATTTTCCATGTTGTCTGTTGATTGAAAAGCATATTCAAAATGTTCATGTATTTTGCCGGAGATGATTGAATTGATCAGGTTTTTATTTACTAACACACCAGGTGTACTAACCATACAACACACACAGCGAAGCGTGTTTGTATCGAGCCATTTAGTGTTGGTAAAGCTGCTATTAATTTGCTGGAGGTGTTTCTCGACAACCTTTGGAGCCTTCCTCGGGAAGGTATTGAGGCGTTTCAAGTGCTTTTCAATACTATTAAGTAAGACAACTTGTTTCATCTGCAACTGATAAACGCTCACAAAGCAGATATTGGTCAGTTTGAATGCTGTAAAGGGAGTTTTGTTAATTATGACAAAACCAAATTTAATGATATCCAGGTCTGTCTTATCTACAGATTTCAAATCCACTAAGCCTGAGTATGTCCGATTTGTTCTACCAAACCCAGATCTATCAATGTCCTCTACAACCGCATGGGTCAAACCAGAGCTAGCACCATCTGGATCCTCATTATTTTTTACATGACTGGTGATTGTTTCAGAGCTCACACTGCTTTCGTGGCCCTGAGGGAGAGATTCAGGACTAGTGATGGTTCTAGCGGCCCCAGGGTGTGTTACACTGGTTTGCTGCTCGCCCACTGAAACTTTGTCCCTGCAGTCTTTGTGCACTGGTTGGGCAATGGTTAACTCAATGTCAGTATAAACATCGATTGATGAGCTTTCCTGTACCATGTGACCCAGACATGCCATGCACCACATCTGACCACTTTTTTTGATGTAAAAATTCTCATCCATACTAGCCATTGACCAGAAGCTGCACCATCGAACCACCCCTTGCATCTGATGTAGATCACTTTGAAACTTCCTCAGACTTTGGACTGTTATCATGTATTCATGCTGCAATTGTATTCTGGTAGTGCCTTGTCTCATCAGATAATTCCTCAAATCTTTGGCTAAATATTTCACTTCAGAACTGTGCTCACTCAGATAGATGTCCAAGTGATCTCTCCCCTGGTTGGCAAGGAGTTTGTGCTTGATTTCAGCAATGCTGATATACCACATACCCTCGTAAAACTGTCCAGTCATCTCCTGACCGTGGATGAGCAGCATGGTAATGCTGGGTAGGTATCTCAGCATGAGAAATTTCTCTTCATAGAGGACTATCTGGTCTGCCATCACTGATCTCTGCTCTTCTGGATGGCATCTACATTCATGCGGAAAATGCTTTTTCAAATTTTTCATAACTTTCTTGGATGATGTTTTCAAATGATTAGTCAGAACAAGTGCATCATTTCCTCTGACTTTCAATTTGGTCAGTACATCCTTTACTCCTATTGAGGCAGCTGGTTGGGATGCAGTATTTATCTCCTTTTTCCGATTTTGTTTACTTTCCTTGCATGTTTTTGGTGTAAGTTTGGTGCTGGAATGCTTTTCCAATTCTGCAGCAGTTGTCGAAGTTTTGCTCAATAGTATATTTGACCGCTGATTTTCAACAAAATTATTTTGAACTCTGATATTTCCATCTTTCTCCAACTGATATTTCAACATTAATGATTTGTGCTTATTAAAGTTACCTATGGCTGTGGTATTAGAAGGACTTTGGACTAAAGTTTGTATTGGTAGGGGTGTCCGAAATGTTTCGAGTAACTGCTTTGTGTCAATAACTTTTGACTTTGAAGATGTTGCATTAAAATGAAATAGGTCAGAATGATTTGAGTCCACGTGTGGTGACTTAGGAAATGACAAGTGAATTCTGTGTGACTTAGATGTTGATAAGTCACTGCTGTGTGACTTAGATGTTGCTGTGTGACTGCTGTGTGACTCAGATGTTGCTGTGTGACTCCTGTGTGACTTAGATGTTGCTGTGTAACTGCTGTGTGACTTTGATGTTGCTGTGTCACTGATGTGTGACTTAGGTGTTGCTGTGTCACTGATGTGTGACATAGATGTTGATGCATCACTACTGTGTGACTTAGATGTTGCCGTGTCACTGCTGTGTGACTTTGATGTTGCTCTGTCACTGATGTGTGACTTAGATGTTGATGTATCACTACTGTGTGACTTAGATGTTGATGTGTCACTGATGTGTGACTTAGATGTTGCTGTGTCACTGATGTGTGACTTAGATGTTGATGCATCACTACTGTGTGACTTAGATGTTGCTGTGTCACTGCTGTGTGACTTTGATGTTGCTCTGTCACTGATGTGTGACTTAGATGTTGATGCGTCACTACTGTGTGACTTAGATGTTGCTGTGTAACTGCTGTGTGACTTTGATGTTGCTGTGTCACTGCTGTGTGACTTAGATGTTGACGTGTCACTGCTGTGTGACTTAGATGTTGCTGTGTCACTGATGTGTGACTTAGATCTTGATGCATCACTGCTGTGTGACTTAGATGTTGCTGTGTCACTGATGTGTGACTTAGATGTTGAGGTGACACTGCTGTGTGACTTAGATGTTCACGTGCCACTGCTGTGTGACTTAGATGTTGACGTTCCACTGCTGTGTGACTTAGATGTTGCTGTGTCACTGATGTGTGACTTAGATGTTGCTGTGTCACTGCTGTGTGACTTAAATGATGACGTGTCACTGCTGTGTGACTTAGATTTAGAAATTGATTTATAAACCAGTTTTATTTTTGGATCCTTTGATTTTGGTAATTTAGACTTCATGTCATTAATAACATCATCAATATCATTGGTTTTCTCAACAGTGTCATCTCCGTAAACTGAAATCTTCTTTTCTGGTTCCTGAATAACTTCAAACACTGGCGTCTCCTGTAAGAAATGCAACATAGATATTTAATGCACATGGTCAGCGTTTGGAAATATCAGGGACCAATACAGGTTTAAGGGGGCATTTACCTCAGTTAATTTAGGAAGACTATTGTCAGTTTTATATGAAGATGACCAGCCCTCATTAGTCAAGAAACTCCAAGTTTGTGATAAAGTTAGATTTAGATACAAACATGGAATCATTCCTTCCTAACTGTATAGGATTCCATTTTTGAATTTAGTGTTTTTGTTTACTTATCTAAACAAGATATCCCAGAGAGATCTTGACGCCCACTATTGGTACCATCTTCATTAGTTCTTTGTCAGTTTGATCTTTTCTCTTATCTATTTGATCGAGTCATGTTAACAGTAAATGCACCTTGAGGTAACTTTGATCAAAATATAATACTGCTGTGTATAAAAGACAACCTTCAACGTGAGCTCGTTATTTCACATGTTCACTTCTACAGTACTTAATGTGAATGAAATAGGGACGATCATTGCAATATGAGAAAGATATGTAAAGTCGTACATTGTACTTCCTGGAAAATAGTGAGAATATTATTGAAATATGTCAAAATCCGAAAGGACAGCCTGTGACCATCTTGTTTTTTTCCCAAGCAGTCTCAAAATAAGACATGCACAATTATGAACCTTAATATGAAATCTGAGAAATAATTTTCAAGTGCTTTTTGAGAAATAGCGATAACAAACTTTTCAAAGTTAAGATGGCTACCTGGTATCCATGTTGTTTTTAAGATCAGTTTCAATATAAAACATGCACAAGTAAGGACCATAGGGAACCTTCATATGAAATTTGAAAAAGATCCCTCCAGTACTTCCCGAGTAATAGCAATAGCAAAACTTCAATGTCAAATCAAAGATGGCCGCCTATGGGCCATTTTGTTTATGCGATCAGTCTTAAAGTACACATGCACAACTATGGACCAAAGGTAACCTTCAAATCAAATTTGGGAAAGATCTCTCCAGTACTTCCTGAGAAATAGCGATAACAATAATTGTTTAAGGACGAACTAAGGGAGATCTGAATAGCCCACCATAAGGTAATGGTGGGCTAATTAAAAGAGTATAAGAAACTCTTTTAGCTGTTCAAACAGGCTATGCATTTTTTGTGAAAGATCTGACATATTGTTCTACACCCTATGTACCTTTGTGAATCTTTGTTTGAAGATTTGAACATATTGATCTGAACTAAGATGATTTTTATAGCCATTTATTCACTTCTAACACGTCATATTAATTAAAACCATAAACTTACATCGCATAATGTCATAAACTTCAGTAAGTCTCTTTTAATTATTTGTCAGTCAGTTAAACGTTTTGTCAAATTTAAACATTTGGCATTGAAATTTGGTCAAGGTCATTCATTTGAACAAACTAGATATAACCAACTATAAACATGTATCACAGCATGCGACTGCCGAAATATAATTACCCTAGGCTTCTGTTCTGAAGATGCTGAACAACTTTAACATAACGTAAATATGAAATTGCAATTGGGTCAAGGTCATTCATTTGAATAAATTTAAATGACCCTTCATCCCAGTATGTTACTGGCCAAATATCATCAACCTTGATTTCTTCAATATTCAGAAAAATTCAATTGAAGGTTTTCACACATTTGACCTTGAAGGTTTGTCAAGGTCATTCATTTCCACCGACATCATAGCCCCTCATTCTATAATGTAAGTTACCAAATATCACTGCCCTAGACCTCTTGTTTATGTGATCTTGAATATGGGTCATGGTCATTCATTTGAATAAAACTGATATCATTTTATTCTGGAACAAATATTACCACATTAGGCTCAGTAATTCAGAAGAAGTCGTTATTGTGTTTTCAAAACATTTGAACTCTGACCTTGACCTTGAATACAGTTGAAGGTAAATCAGTTGAATTTGACAGCCCTTCATCACAGCAGGTAACTGGCCTTAGATCTTTTTGTTATTCAGAAGAAACCCTTTAAAGAATTTTAACAAATTTGATTCATGTTAACTTGAATATTGGTCAAGGTCATCCATTTGAACAAACTTAATTGCCCTGCATCCCATCATGTTACTGACTAAATATAATGTACCTAAACCTTTTAGTTATTCTGGAGAAGTTGTTTGAAGTCTTTTAAAAATTTGATTCATGTGACCTTGAATATGTGTCAAGGTAAATCATTCGAACGAACTTGAAAGTTCTTCATCCCAGCATTCTACTGGCCAAATATAGTCACCCTGGGTCTTTTGATTATTCAGAAGAATTTGGTTAAAGCATATAATTGACCCCTGTGACTGACCATATATTTGCAATTGGTTGAATGTCATTCATCTGAACAAAATTGATAGCCCAGTATGTTACTAGCAAAATGTCATCGCCCTAGGCCTTATGGTTATTCCGAAGAAGTTGTTGAATTTTTGAAAAAAAATGACCCCTATGACTTTAAATATGGGCCAAGGTCATTCATTTGCACCATCTTGATAGCCCTTTATCCCAACATGCTACTTGTTAAATTCAACAGAAGTTTTTAACACATTTGACCTCTGCAACCTTGAATATGATTGAAAGTCATTCTCATGAACAAACTTGAAAGCCCTTCATCCCTGCATGTTTCTGGCCAAATATTATCTCCTTTAGTTATACAGAAGATGTTGTTTGAAGTTTTGAACAAATTTGACTTCTGTGACCTTGAAAATGGGTCAAGGTTGTTCCTTTTAAACAAACTATACAGTCCTTTATCCCAGCATGCTACTGGTAAAATAGCATCATCCTAGGCCTTTTGGTTACCAAGAGAAGTCGTTAAAAGGAAAATGTTGATGACGGACAGATGGAGGAAGGACACTGCACCAAGGCATAAGTTCTAAAACGGTGAGATACAAATTATCCCAGATACCAGGGCTAGTAGACACTAATAATCCACTAGCCTGAAATAAAAATCTGCTAGTCCAACTAATACAAAATGGATCAAGCTGAGGACATGATCTAGATCTATATCACATTCACAAATGTATGTTTTTCTTATAGATACAAATTCAATTTATAATATTATTTACCCCAACTAATTGAAAATCAGTCCAGTTACTAGTTCCAGTGTATCAGAAAGTATACAAAGAAACATGGCGGACAGCATGATTACTGTTGGCAGGGATGCATGGAAAAATCTCACTTGGCCCTTGAGGCCAGGTAAGTTAAAAAAGTTAACAACCCTGATCTTGGTTTTCAGATCAGTCCAAAAAGTCTATATGAACTTAAGTACTATCAAATGATGGTGGGCTAAGAAGTTGGGAAAATCCACATTCTGGTTTCACAGATGAAGTCTTTTGAAGGTTTTGCACTCTGTGACCCAACTTCTCAGCCTCCTAGGGAGTCAACCTCATCTTGACTAGCAAATCTATTTCCCACTATGGGCTTATATAATTTATAATTACCAGCAAGTTTTGCCAAAATCTGACAGAGAGTTTCTGAGAAGTCAAAAATATGATTTTTATGCACGATGGACGAAAGGCAATTGTAATAGATCTTCGCCTAAAGAAATTTCAAACTTTTTAAGACAATGCAGTAAGATTTGATAATCATGTACATGTATAATAATGTAATAAGTATTGCTGAAAAACGGCAATCATAATCCAATGCCAGGGTAAGAACATGTTTGCCATATATATATGCTGTCGTATTCTACATGTAATACAACACAAAATTCACCAACTGATGCTGGGAGAGTTAGAAATTAAGAATGTAACCAAAATCTCAAGGTTTGCAAACAGTATTGAACCTTAGCTCTGTTCATAATGACGTCAGTTTAACTGTACCTACAGTATAAAGGCAGTCCAAACTCCAGGGTTAGGTTCTCAATATACATACCTTTCTGCATCCTTGGTCTCAGGACAGAAATGATGGCTTAGGGTTGGCTATCTGATAGGTATTTGACATGAATTCATTTTTAGAAAATAGCTTTGAATCACAAGGCTGGCAGGCATTTCTTAACGTACTTTGAAAACTATGTCTATTTATGAAAGATCTTACTGTTATGCTACCTCGTGTTTCACTTTTATATTTAATCAAAGCAGTAGTATTGATCAGTTCTATGCAGGCCTAGGATTCTAGTGCAGTTTAATTTCCAGACTAAACTCATATCACCCACAATATTGCAATCATGGACTCTAATTCTGATAAGATATCAAATGCAAGGATGCAGATCTGATATATACAGTGGAATCTGTATTAAGGAGGGCGTCTAAAAGCGTGTGACGTGTACCTACATATGCAAATGTCAATTTACCTGGTCACCGGTCATGTCCACTACTCCGGCCTCTTGTGACTGTTTTATAGCATCCAGACTGGCCTCCACAAGTGCATCCCTGTGTAGCAAGACAGGAGAGTTGAGAAGAATCATCCGTCCCTTTGCAGGAATTATAGTGTATTTGGAAGCCATCTTAAGGGTCTGTACCACACTCTGTGGGATATGTAATAGTGGGCTCCTTGGAAGAACATTGATTGTCTTTGGACTTTGAGCTGCACTATCACCACTTTGGGCCGAACTGGGTGAATCAATGGCTGCTGCCTGTTCCATTTGAGTCCAGTTTTGAGTACAATTGTCTTTCCTTACAGTAGTCACAGTTTTTTTTCTATGCTTGACCTGTTCTGTTGTTGTCTTGTTTTGAGTACATTTGACTTGACTCTTAAATTTTGTAATCACCGTTTGGCTACACCGGACTTGTTTCGTTAATGCATCTTTTAGAGTACACTTGATTTTCAATGCTTTAGCCAACTTTCTAGAACACTTCTTTTGCCCCTTTGGATTCACCTTTTTATAAAAAAATCTTTTTCTGCCTCATCTTTTTCTCATTTTGATTATAGTTGGCTGGCATTATAAGCAATATTCACATTTTCAGAAATTTCATTCGCCCTGATTTTGTCACATTTTGAAAACACTTGACTTGCTCTGTGTCTGCCACTTTTCAGTGCACATTCAGAACCATTTTCTAGCCTCTGTATAAGACCCAAATCTCTTGACAATGTTACTTTCCTGACCTGATTGTGAGAATATTTACACTAGTAACAGTTGGGTACATCTGACCATGCTCTTTTTCTGTATGTATCACATCTGATTTTCCTCACTGCTTCTGAAGGTCACTAGCTAGCCAGCCATTATGAGAAAAAGCCTGTGATGGCCAATTGATGATCAAGAAAACATAGACCAGTCAAAATGCAGGACTCAAAAGCTGGGTTGTGATGACCAGTCAGTTCTCCACAAACCGTCCATGTCTACAAGTAAAATAGATACTAGTAGTTATCACAGAGGTCATAACTTTATAAATTATCAAAATAAGTTTAGGGCAAATGATATTAGATATGTGTTTCCTATTCACCTTACTATCAATTCACTTTCCCTGCTTGAAACATTTAAAGTCAAAATTCAGAAAAACAAGTTCAACTTTTATAATAATTCCAGGTTCTTATACATGTATACCGCTTTTATCACAACCTAGTTCGTACGTAGGTCGTCTCAAAGCGGTTCACAAATTATTATTCGTGGTTACAGGCTTTTACAAACAGCCAATATCTTTCTCAACTCCCTGGGGAGCATACAGCTGTCTGCTGGTGCTGCCATTTCGGCACTCATCACTAGCATTCAACAGTTCCAGCACTGCCCACCCAGGCACTCATTTACAGCTGGGTAGACTGGAACAAGCAGAGTCAAGTATCATGTTTTAAAGATACAACACTGTGGTGCGACTCAAACCAGCAACCCTTCAGTCACAAGCCCGGCGTCCTACCACTAGACTACTGTGCCTCCAGAACAACCAAGTTGAATTCCACAAATGCTTATAATTTATTTAACCTTTTAAATGGAATTAAAAACAAGAGACCCAGAAGGCCTGTATCGCTCACCTGGATAATAAAGCAACCATGGGAAATTATTCTTATTACATAAAATCCCTCCAATTGTACTGAAGAAGAGAGATTTTAAAGATTCAAACTTCAAATTCCCCTATTAGGCCTTGCCCCTTTATCCCTATGGTAAAAGAAGGATTTTAAAGGTTTTACCTCTTTTCTCCTATTGGGACTACTTTGCCTCCAGGGGGGGGGGGGGCACACCCATCATTTATACATAACTGAGTTACCTTGGCCTAAGGATGCTCCAGACCAAATTTAGTCAAAATCTACTGGGCTGTTCAGGACTACAGTAGCGTTTTAAAGGAAAAGTTGATGGTCAGACGGATGCTGTGGTATGGGATAAGATCGGTCCAGGTGAGCTAAAAAAACACTCTTGAAAAATGTCACCAATACCTACAGATCAAGGAGTTACCTCAAAAATAACCTGCACTCAAAATGCTAATGGAACAAAAAATACACATGATATAATGTGCTAGCCTTATCAAAAGTAGGGTTTCAAGTGATTAATTTATATATATATTATATAATTCATTACACATAAGAATATATTATGTATCAGAGAAATCTGTGAAAATATTGAAATCTCTTGTAACTCTTTTCACATATTTTGAAAAAAAATGCAAATTCATGAACATAAAAACAAAATTAAAAGTTTTTGAGAACTACTAAACAGTATTTTAATCAAAATTTAAACATGAAGTTAAAACATTGTGCCCATCAGTGTCTGAGTTATTATCATTCTCCTATTTTCATTTGTCATCTAAACAGAAAAAAAATGTTCCATACCTTTTGAGAACATATATAAAAACATGTATAAATATGTTATTTATTTTACAACATTTATGAATATTTTTTTCCATCTTTTATTAAACCGACTCTTGTTGGCCCAGATGAAAGTGCAAAGAGGGTTTAATATTATGTGGCTTTAAAATCAATGGCTAAAATCCTTTAAGGACATGCCTCCACATGTAATGTGTATGCGTGCATGTGTGTATGTTGGTGCAACTGCCTCCTTGGGATAGCACAGATCCTATACAGACTTTAAGTGCTACCACACCCAAATTCTATGGCCCCTAGCATAGTATTTCACTCAGTCACATTATAATGACCACGGGTAAATCAGTTGTTGAAATTACTCTTAATGAATAACAACTACCATTTTTAAAGACTTTGGTATGGCCCGGGCTGGGGACAGAACCCATTGCCACTTAGTCGAACGCTCAATAATATGGACTTGGCCAAGCAAGGCGCTAGGAAACAATAAAATGTTTTTTAGGAAGTAGAGAGAAAGTGTAACGATTCCAAATGTTGTAATGGGGACAATGTCCCCTTAGCCTCATTGTCCCCTTAGCCTGAATGTCCCCTTAGCCTGAATGTCCCCTTAGCCTGAATGTCCCCTTAGCATCAATGTCCCCTTAGCCTCATTGTCCCCTTAGCATCAATGTCCCCTTAGCCTCAATGTCCCCTTAGCCTCAATGTCCCCTTAGCCTCAATGTCCCCTTAGCCTCAATGTCCCCTTAGCGTCAATGTCCCCTTAGCAGACGACACAGGAGAAAGCCCCAATCTACAGGGGGCCCACATTAGTGTCCTTTTATGTTGTTGTATACAGCAGACCTTTTCTTTCCCTGCAGGGGAGTCTAAATGTGGGGGGAAACCAGAGTAACCAGAGAATACTCATGTGCTTGGGCAGGGGACCCAATTACCTATCCACTGTGCCACCCGACCAACCTTACAGCAATAACACTTGGTTAGGGCAATATGAGAAAATATTTTTTACCAATGATTTGATGGACCTTGATTTGACAGCTTAAAAATAGTGCGATTGAAGATGGCCATGACACAGAATACATGGTCAGGGTCATTAGAAGAAGTCTATCTCAGAGTTTTTGTTGTCGAAATCAGCCAAATGCAAGTTTAGAAGAAGTTGACAATATCACAGCCAACCAGATGCCAGGAGGGTCATTCTGGATTCTATCAACCTGAAAAATCATCACTTGCTGCTAAAGAAAATAGAAAAGTATATGAAAACGAGAGATCCCAGAGGGATCTTGGCGCCCACCTTTGTACCATCTTCATTAGTTCTTTGTCAGTTCAATCTTTTCTCTTCTTTCCTCTGATCTGTTTGATCGAGTCATGTTAACAGTAAATGCACCTTGAGGTAACTTTTGATCTAAACTTAATACTGATGTGTATGAAAGCCAACCATCAAAGTGAGTTTGTCGTATCACATATTTACTAGTACAGTACTTAATGTGAAAGAAATAGAATCGATCATCGCAATATGAGAAAGATCTATTTAGTTCTTCCTTCAGCCATTTTGTTTTTATTATCAGTCTCAAAATATAACATGCACACAGTCCGGCGGAGGGGACTATAAACGGTGTCCCGTGTAGGAGGGTCCAACCTGCACGTAAAAAATCCCTCTGTGTATTGTCGAAAGAGTAGGCGCGTTAACGCCGACACAGAGGATAGGGATAGATTAGATTACACTTATTATCGATGATTCGACGGACTTCCAAAATATAGGAACAAAATAAAAAAAAAAAAAANAAATATAGTATAAGCCCAACAACTTAAAGACCCCCCATAAGACCAAATACTAATAACCTTTTTTTATTTTATTTTTTTATTTATTTTTTAAATAAGACATACACCAGAGAATAAAGGGTAAATATCTGCATACACCATAGGGACCCCTCGGATAATCTCAAACTCCGGCCAAATCTGACAAGGAAACAAAGTACTGTACCTAACGGAAGCAGAGACGTTTCCCTACTGTCGGGCTCAACCGGCAGTAAGAGACCCGAGGTACATAACAAATATAATATATATACCTCCCTATAAGAACAGGAATATATGCAATAAATACACTTTACAAATAGACAAATATTTTTTTTCTTTTTTAAGTACATATATACACTAATATAAGCCACATTGGCCAATTTCGAGTCCCCTCAACGACACAAAAACATTAGTAAGGAGCAACAATCACAGATACAACATCCAGCAAGACACACCATTTCGGACCAAGGAGTCGTCTCCAAATTACACCACAAGATAAGGATAGGATAGAATAGACGACTCCAAACCACCCCCCGAGGGAAGGCAACTTCCCTCACGCCGACAGAACACTGACTTCCGTCAGTGAGATGAAACCCGTAAGGGCGGATTCATGTAGGCGCGAAACCCGTCATCCATCCATCCATCCATAACATGCACAACGAGGGATCAAGGGGAACCTACATATCAAATTTGAGAAAGATCCCTCAAGTTATTCCTGAGAAATAGTACTAACAAACCTTCAATGTCAAAAATCGAAGATGGCTGTCGGTAGGCCATTTTGTTGAACTGATTAGTTTCAAAAGTAAACATGAACAATAAAGGATAGTGGGGAACCTGTATATAGAATTTGAGAAAGAACCGTCCAGTACTGAAGCAGCAAGATGACCAGGGTCAGGGCCCCAGTGGATGTCAGAGGCAGTCCTAACCTAAAGTGGTTATAATAAGGACAACAGATGCTTTTTGCAGTCAAGCAAGGTTGTTAAAATCTATGTTGCGTCTGCTAAATAAGTGGCAGGAAAAAGGGCACATTAGGCCAGAGAGGGCACTTTAATTAAATAATTAAGTGCCAAACTTTTTGGTTTAGTGTGAGGTCAAAAAGGGCACTTTAATTAACGACTAATTAAGTACCCCTATTGGTCTAATGCAAGGCTAAAAAGGCACTTTAAATAATGTGCACTTTTTGGTCTAATGTGCCCTTTTTCATGCCACTTCTCGGTGCCTTTTTTTCCTGTGGGAACTAAATGCTCTATTTCAGGGATCAAAATTTTGAGTTGGCAAGACGTATGTGAAGTAAATAAACAAAAAAAATAACTACAGATTTCTGTAAAGTATATTTTAAGCCTGGAAGATAGTATAAACTATATGTGGACTTCTTGGTTTCACTTGAACATGGAATTAGATTAGCAAGACAGTCTACAAAAAATGAAAACTTTTGTTTTTTTAACTGAAGTTTGAATTGTGTCCTACCCCTAGCCTTTATTTAGAAAATTGAAGCTTATCTTTATTGTTGCACAACATTGTCTACAAAAGGATGCTTTTAATCAGTTCCATCACTGACTTTTTCATTAAAAATAAAAATCTGTACATTTTCCATTAACCCATGGACAATACTTATATTTAAATAATTCAGGGGTTATGCTGTATTCGAATTTGTTAAAGAAAGCCTACTGAGCAATCTTTTGCACAAAATCAAGATTTGACTTGAAGACTTGTTAGGCCTGCATTAATATTTGCGGAGATGTTGTGTAGATAAACCGTTCGGTCCGCACGAACACGTCTTAGAATTTCTATCATTATTTTGAGAAATGTGCTGAATCGAAAATTATAATTGCTTGTCGGAGTACGTAAAAACCTCTTCGTACTTTTCATGTCTTGTCCCTTTCTGCTTTTTTGCACTTCCAGGTGGCGCTTCAGGTGGGGCTTTACAGTACATAATGGAGATGAGTTTGAAATGTGGAACGAAACACGAATGACTTATGTTTTATTTCGACCATAAAAATCCTTCCAAAAATCAATATGATCTCAGTATTTAGAGTAATGTACAAATATAATGAATTCGCATAATCTTTTTAATATGACATATTGTTTCTTTTGCACTTTTTCTTTTCGGTTTATTTATTTCGTTTTTTATTTTACACTCACCACACTTGTGCTTGACTTTCTCGGCGATGCCTTTTCCTCTAGACTACTAGGCCTATTTATGTTCACCGCAGCAAGTTTCATGACGATGGAATCACCGAAAAGATCATGACAGTATTTAATCTGCCATTCGCGCCTCGATTTAATCACGAGGTCCCCAGAATGTTCTCTACTGAATAGATGTTGTCTTATTCGAGACTCCTCAAATTCGACTAATTTTGCCATAGTCAGCTGATAGTAAGATGTAACGATGCGTCTTCGATTGTTGTGTGAATATGTACATGAAATAATTAAGAACTGGCAAATAATTTCATTTTCTTGGTTGTGAATTTCTCAATCTGGCGCATTCAAATAAACTTTTCAATTTGTATAACATCTCAATCTACCGGAAGTTGGCTGTTGAAGTACCACGACCGATTTTCGTCTGTATCCATTGTCGGTAAACTTTTTAATTGTATGCGCAAATAAACATGTGAACATAACTCAGGTTATATATGATTAATCTTTGAGAGTTTAAGCCTTGAAGTGTTAATTCAAAATTACATCTTCTATGTATTACGCTGCAAATTAGACGGAAGTATATGTGTGCATGTTGCTTGTGTTCCCAAACTAGGATTGTATTTGCAACCTGATTTACATGTGATACCCCTTCATCCATTCAAACTTGTTACTCGGTAGTGCATTGTAGGGTGTATTGGTAAAGGGTAAGTGTCAAGGTAAAATCTTAACCTTTGCTAGTACCCTGACTGTGTACATCTTTCGCCTGAACTGTAATGTTTATTTATCCGTTGAAATTGTCCTTTTTAACAGGTGTCAATAGATCAAGGAGAATGTTTTGATTGATCAAATGTGTTTCCATATCCAAAATTGACATAAGAATACATTTAACACATTAGGCATTGAGACTTGTTTCTATTATTATGTATCATATATCCTGAAGAATTGTGAAATAGTCGTGACATATACCCTATATGTACAAAAGTGGTTGTATAAAACGGAACCAATGGAGATGAAGCCTGTAGTACCACCATCGTCAACGCAAACGTCCAATCACATAACTGACAGGTTGGACTTTGGCACTGATAATGGTGGGGAAATGACGTCGGAGATGCAGGATGGAGATTTAGAGGAGGGAGAAATAGAGTCGGAGGCTGAGAGTGTGAAAGATGCCTTGAACACAATAGAACCAGAGAAGATGTCAATTACAGAAAATGCATCAGAACCAGATAATGTTCCAGATGAAGATGTTGAATCAGATGGAGAAATTGTGTCAGAGGCTGAGTTAAATGAGACGGAAACCAAGGCAGCAGGTAATGCAAAGATGTGAACAAATCATATAAAGGTTTCAGTGTTGCTCTGCATCTGTTGCATCCAAAATGGATACAGATGTTGAATTTACTGACATCTTCAACTCTGATTGGTAAACTCCAGAGTTATTGGAAAGTTTAGTGGCAGATCTAGAGCTGGAAACAGACTGGGAGCAACACATTTAAAAAAAATGTGCTTACAATAATGATGTATGTTTTTATAATATGTTTTGTTCCTATCCAACATACAGTGAATTGAGGACATCAATATGTATTGTTTTTACACAAAAAATCTAATCACAACAAATAATGCATTTATTGTTTCACCCTGGTAAATCTTGCGGTAACCCTGGTAGAAGATAGGAGTATATTTTTTTATTAAATATTTTTTTTGTCAGTTATAATTATGTAGAGCAAAGAACTTGACTTGAACAGTGCTGGTCTGTACTTGACTCATTAAGTATGTTCTTTAAATTTTTTCTATTATGTTCCACTCTTTTGTGAATTAGACCTAAGTATCACTTGAAAGAATGTAATTTTAACAGTGCATGAGGACAGAGAAATTGACAGGAGGGAAAATGAAGCACAACCTCCAAAAACAATAAAGCGCCCCCGTGCTGTGCTGGAGCGGAAAGGGGAAGATGAGTCTGATGATGAAGTGCCAGCAAAGTTCCTGCGTGCTGATAGTATTGAGAATGTACCCAAGGAACCTGGAGATGGAACCCAGGAATTTGAGATTATAGATGACCTGGGAGAGGTTGAAGGAGAGAATGAAGGTGAATTCTACAGCGATGACGATCTGGAAGACAGTGAAATCTATGCCTGGCTTGATGAGGGCTTTGAGCGACGTACCACAGGAGACTGTCCTATACAGAGAGAGAAGGTTGTTCTGACAGGTAACTTGCTGGAATGATAAATACACACTTAATGTTTCATTTATTCTTATAGAATGTCTAAAGATAAGTTAAACATAGTAAATCACTGCGTGGAAAATTGGTCAATGGTTTGAGAAATTGACTAGGCTTGGATTAATGATATTGTAGGAAAGTGAAAAGACAATGAAAAATCTTGCATTGTAAAAGTCTTCTCAGCAGACAGTCGCTCGAGATTCATTCCCAAGTTCAGATTAAAATAATGCATTATGTAAGAAAACATAAAAGTATGAAAATTACAGCTCCTCTTAAAGTTTAGCAGGGTAGGGTTTGTGATTGTATCTTTCATTTTCAGAGAGGGGAACCAACCCATTTGAGGTGTTGCCAGAGGGCTGGGTAGTGATCACCCATAACAGTGGTATGCCAGTATACCTACACAAAGCGTCCCGAGTGTGCACCTTGGCTCGTCCTTACTTTCTTGGACCAGGCAGTGTCAGGGTAATGTACAACAGATTGAGCCCAAGAGGTGATGTTTAGGACACACATATTTGAGTTCTAGACTCATGCTTTTCTTTTTGGACTTGTTCACATTTTGAGAATCCACTATATAGTACATTCTTGGTAATGGGGTTCATTGACATTGTCAAAATGTTATTTATGACCCATCTGAATAAAAACCTACACATTTTTTCAAAACAAATGAATAATAATTTTTCTTTTGATTGTTTTACAAAAAGAGAATGTGTATTATGTATTTCAATTTTAAGCTTATTTTGTCAGGCATCTTTACTTATTTACCTGGTACAATTCTCTAGTTTTGTAGCCAAGTATGTTACAAAAGCATAATGTTGCAAATTGAAATTGAGTCTTGGGATTCCAGTATACTCAGAGTTTTTCAGCATGAAAGCTAATTTTACACACAGGTCGGAGACAATTGATCGCTTTCAATGCTTTGTCTTTTTGTGATATTAAGATTTGAACCTCAAACTTTTCAGAAACATGACATTCCTGTAAGTGCTGTTCCCTGTCTACAGTACAGGAGGGAGCTAGATAAAGAGAGGAATTCCAATGATCAACAGAGCCCAACTGTCTGTAATGGTAAAGATTCAAACATGCCAACCGAGTCTGTGGAAGCACCGCCACTACCGCCACCAGAACCAATCAGCAATGGGGACACTAACGAGACAGGTATTACCTGTGTACAGCTTGCTACTATAACTTCATATTTTTATTTTAAGCCCACCGTCATCCGAATCACCTATCATCCATGGCCTGTCCTTCAACAATTCCTTTTACTGCTATTTTTCAAGATCTGAAGTACTTGACAGATCTTTCTCAAATTTGATATGAAAGTTCCCCTTGGATCAAAGTTAGAAATGTATATTTCATTTTTGGACTTATCGAAAAAATCAAGATGGCTACCAGATAGCCAGCCTTCTTAGATTTTGAGAGTTCAATATTGCTATAGCTGTTTTTCAAAATGTTCTTGACAGATCTTTCATATGAATGTTCTCTTTGGTCCAAACTATCCATAGTGGTAACTGTGCACATGTAGGTTTGATGTAACTCTATAAAAGATTTTTAGCTCGCCTGGTCCAAAGGACCAAGGTGAGCTTATGCCATACTGTGGTTCCGTCGTCCGTCCGTCAACGATTTCTTTAAACAACTTCTTCTTCTTAACCACTGATTGGAATTTAACTAAATTTGACTGGAAGCATCCTTAGGTGGTGGGGAATCAAAATTGTACAAATGGTGGGGCTGACCCCCCAGAGGGCTGAGGGGTGGGGCAAAAAGGGGGCAATTTGGCTATATTGCTTTAAGCCACTTCTTCTCTGGAACTAAGAGATGGATATCAACCATATTTGACTGGAAGCATCCCTAGGTGGTGGATTCTCTGGAACTAAGAGATGGATATCAACCATATTTGACTGGAAGCATCCCTAGGTGGTGGAGATTCAAAATTGTACAAATGGTTGGGCTGACCCCCCAGGGGGCTGAGGGGCGGGGCCAAAAAGGGGGCAATTTGGCTAGATTGCTATAAACGACTTCTTCTGTAGAACTATGCACTGGATATCAATCATATTTAATCAAAAGCATTCATGGGAGGCAGGGATTCAAAATTGTACAAATGGTGGGGCTGACCCCCCGGGCTAAGGGGTGGGACCAAAAAAAGTTTATTGCCTGGAAATGGTTGAGATCCCCACCATATAACCACATATACAATTGCTGAGTATAAAGAGAAGAATGCACATTTGCTTCCAGGATGGCCCTAGGGTCTGGCCCCACCCTTGGAAACATAGTCCTTGGGCCATAACTTTAAAACGGCTGAGATCCCCACTCAAAAACTATATATACAAATGCTGGGCATAAAGAGACGAATGCAGTCACAATATTAGAATAGACCCTGGGGTCTGACCGAACCCCTAGGGACCTAGTTTCTTAGTCACAGCTTGGAAACAGTTGAGATCCCCACCCTATAACCATATAGACAATTGCCGATTACAAAGAGATGAATGCACATATGCTTCCAGGATGGCCTTGGGGACTGCCCCACCCTTGGAGACTTAACCCCTGGGTCATAACTTTGAAATGGTTAAGATCCCCACCCCAAAACTATATATACAATTGTTGGGCATAAAGAGACAAATGCAGTCATGATATTAGAATTGACCCCAGGGTTTGCCCCACCCTTGCAGACTTAACCCCTGGGTCATAACTTTGAAACGGTTGAAATCCCCACCCCAAAACTATATATACAAATGCTGGGCAAAAAGAGACAAATGCAGTCATGATATTAGAATTGATCCTGGGGTCTGGCCACAACCGTAGGGACCTAGTTTCTGAGTCACAGCTTGGAAACAGTTGAGATCCCCACCCCATAACCATACATAAAATTGCTGGGCATGAAAAATTGAATACAGATATATATGTTACAAGGATTGGCCTTGGGGTCTGGCATATTCCCTTGGATCTCATTTGAAGAATATTCTGCCATGATTGCTTAGATATCCAGGTGAGCGATACAGGCCCTATGGGCCTCTTGTATTGAGTTGGCGGGAGATCTCCTTCTACGGTTTTCTATCGATTTCTTTGAAACTTGTAGGATTTATAATCATGATATCAAGTTGTGTTTAATGAGTTGGAGACTAATCTTTTGATTACTTGTTTTCCTCAAACTGTCAAATTAGAAAATTAAAGAAAACCGAACATTTACTTTGTAGTGAAAGGTGAGATTTAAAGCATGCTAGATAGCCACTCTTAAGGTGATGCAAATCTTATTTTAATGCAAGATAGTATATAACACTATATGGCATTCGACGGGCGCATATTGTTCCGCCCTGCGATACTCTTGTTTACAATCTCATGCACACTATAAACATAATTGGGTTGCCCTATTGAAATCATGGTGTCTGTCTGTCTGTCTGAAAATCTACACTTCATTTTCAGACGTTATCTTGGAATAAGAAAGTAATCTTGCTGAAATTTAACTTTGTGATACACTGTGAAATGTATTCTGTGCTATAGCTATAGGGATTTAAAACAAATCCTACAGACAAGCTAGGTCAAAGTCACTGTTACTAAAAATAGACCTTCTCTAAGATTCCGAAAATTCAATAATCTTTTTGAAATTTGACATGGTGATATGTAGATATGCAAAAGTGGTTTAAATAGTTTTTAAGATCAAGGTCAAAGTCAAATTTACAATTTATGAAAATAGAACATTGGGGGAGGGGTGAGTGTGATTCATTCAGACACATGACGGGGGTGGGGGGGTAGGGGGTGTCTTGCTGACCTGTCAGCGTTCTAGTAGCAAATGAAGTTTTGTCAGTTTTTAAAGTCAAAGTTTTAATTCATCATAACTCAAGCATTTCTATTTTGACTATAGTTTTGACAGGAGAACAGGAGACGTCCTCAGTCACAACTGTAGATGGAACAGTGATAGCCCCACCTGTCAAGATAGAATATGCAGAGGACAGGAAGAGGCAGAATACAATAGGTGAGCTACATTGAAGTCATTTTGATTGAATTTTCAAAGTGGAATGCAAGAAAAATGGAGGGATTCAAACCAGATATAATGTAGAGCATCCTTGGGGGGAAATGGGACTCAATTTTGTACAAATGCATTATGTGGCCCCCCTAATAGGGGCAGAGGGGCGCAGGCCCTATTGGGGGAAATTTCAAATATTTCCTTACGAAACCAGTCTAAACAACTTAGTCTCTCTTTGCGTATTCAAAGCAAAAAATCTGTTGCTTTTGGTCAGCCTAGCATGTCATACGCACCTCCGACTACTATAAACACTCTACTGAGTCTGTTTAATCTACATATATTCATATAGACTGGTATTGTAAGGAAATATTTGGTGTTAGGCAAGGAGATGCACTTAAGTCCTAGTATTCCCAAATACAAGAAAAGGTGTTTTTTAAGGCATTGTAGGATAAGTATGAAACTTTCACAAATTTTAAAAATACCAATATATATTAAAAAGTAATATATTTGCCAAGTTATCCCAAAATACCTTTTATGTACAATCAGCACATAATTTCATAAACATTGGAAATAGGCAGAACAATTGATAAAACAATTGATGAAATGGGTTAACTTTAACGATTAAAACAGATACTTTCCTTCAGGCTAGGAGACTTAAAATTACCAGCAAATCAAACTTCATATGATAAATAAGTTGTTTTACAGTAGTTGTGGTGGCAAATGCCATTTTTAGCTCACATGGTCCAAAGGACCAAGGTGAGCTTATGCCATACCGTGGCGTCCGTTGTCCGTCCATCAACAATTTCTTTAAACGACTTCTTCTTCTTAACCACTGATTGGAATTTAACTAAATTTGACTGGAAGCATCCCTAGGTGGTGGGAATTCAAAATTGTACAAATGGTGTGGCTGACCCCTCAGGGGGCTGAGGGGGGGGGCCAAAAAGGGTTGTTTGGCTATATTGCTTTAAGCGACTTCTTCTCTGGAACTAAGTTATGGATATCAACCATATTAGACTGGAAGCATCCCTAGGTGGTGGGGATTCAAAATTGTACAAATGGTGGGGCTGACCCCCCAGGGGGCTGAGGGCGGGGCTGAAAGGGGTCAATTTGGCTAGATTGCTATAAACGACTTCTTCTGTAGAACTATGCACTGGATATCGATCATATTTTGTCGGAAGCATTCATAGGAGGCAGGGATTCAAAATTGTACAAATGGTGGGGCTGACCCCCCAGGCTAAGGGGTGGGGCCAAAAAAAGTTTATTGCCTGTAAATGGTTGAGGTCCCCACCATATAACCACATATACAATTGCTGAGTATAAAGAAAAGAATGCACATTTGCTTCTGGGATGGCCCTAGGGTCTGGTCCCACCCTTGGAATCATAGTCCTTGGGCCATAACTTAAAAACGGTTGAGATACCCACCCCAAAACTATATATACAAACGCTGGGCATAAAGAGACAAATGCAGTCACGATATTAGAATAGACCCTGGGGTCTGACCGAACCCCTAGGGACCTAGTTTCTCAGTCACAGCTTGGAAACAGTTGAGATCCCCGACCTATAACCATATAGACAATTGCTGAGTATAAAGAGATGAATGCACATATGCTTCCAGGATGGCCTTGGGGACTGCCCCACCCTTGGAGACTTAACCCCTGGGGTCATAACTTCGAAATGGTTAAAATCCCCACCCCAAAACTATATATACAATTGTTGGGCATAAAGAGACAAATGCAGTCATGATATTAGAATTGACCCCAGGGTTTGCCCCACCCTTGCAGACTTAACCCCTGGGTCATAACTTTGAAACGGTTGAGATCCCCACCCTAAAACTATATATACAAATGCTGGGCAAAAAGAGACAAATGCAGTCATGATATTAGAATTGATCCTGGGGCCTGGCCACCACCATAGGGACTTAGTTTCTGAGTCACAGCTTGGAAACAGTTGAGATCCCCACCCCATAACCATACATAAAATTGCTGGGCATGAAAAATTGAATACAGATATATATGCTACAAGGTTTGGCCTTGGGGTCTGGCATATTCCCATGGATCTCATTTGGAGAATATTCTGCCATGATTGCTTAGATATCCAGGTGAGCCATACAGGCCCTATGGGCTCTTGTTTATTTGTATGTTAACTTTGATATGTAAGAAAACAAATCAGGACCTGAAATTCACTTCAGCCACAGCTGCTGAGCAAATATTATATGTTATATTATATTATATATCAAGTGTGTATTGAATAATTATGTACTCTATGTAAGTGTATTCAAATAAGTAAAATTTCAACTGAAATGTAAATCAAGTTATTGAGAAAACAATTCACTTTTCATTTGAAAATTACCTAAAAGAACCTCCTGATCTAATCCTCTTTTTTTATTTAAACGATCTTTAAGTGACGATTGATTTTCTGTTACTTTTCGTTATTTATATATGCCTGTTTAGTTTATACATGTTTTCAAAAACAGAAATAGTTCTATTTTGTTTTTTTAGCTCATTTTGAAAACAACTTTGTGATTTACCCTACCTCTTTTGGTACCCCCAAAAACCACTTTCGGTTAAAACTTTTACCTTGGTTTTTGCTCATGTAATAGGACATCTTTAAACAAATTAAGGAGGTGAAACCGAATATACCAAGGCCCAAAAAGGGCTCTATAGACACTCATCCTTCAAGTGAAGTCATAAGTCGGTCACTTACAGGTGACCTTTAACCTGGAAAAATCTGTAACCTGTTTCTCTTGTGTTATATTTCAGATCCCAATGAACTTCGAGACTATTGTGAAAAAGTGTTTGAATTCAGGACAATCACAGTAAAAAAGTTCAAGTGAGTACAACATTAGGCAACAGTGTAGACTTTGATAATATTTAATAAGGCCAAAGCTAAATATATGTTTGCAGTGAAACTACTGAGCCAAAAAAATGTTCATTTCAAAATTATTTTTTTTATGACAAAAAACCCCACATTTTAATATGTAAAATGAAATAAGCAATATAGATGTAAAAGAGTATTGTATATACCCCTGAGACATAGGGGAAGTAACATTTGCCATGTCCCTTGAAACAAAGGGGAAGGAACATTTGTCATGTCCCTT